TTCTATCTATGTTCATACTTTTTTCTTCTATTATCTTTATCCAGTTTTAGTATTAGCACAATGTTGATTTCCTAAAATGAGGGGAGAAGTGTTCCTTCATTTTTCTGCTTTAAATGTTTGATATAATTCATTAGTTAAAATGTATATGAGCCTGCTGTTGTCATACAGGTAAGGTTTTCAAGCTAGGAATATACTTTCTTTGATAGGTGCTATTTAAATTTTATATTTCCTCCGGAGTTAGTTTCATTAATTTGTCTTCCAAGGTACTTCTTAGAAGTTGTCAAATTTATTTCAAAAAGGATTTTTGAAATATGCTTTCTATATCCTTTTAAAATCTGTAAAATTTGTGAGAATGTCCTCTAAATTTTGATATTGTAACCAAAACAATGTATAATTGATATTGTGTAACAGGAAGAAAAGGTCTAAAGGAGCCAGGGAAGTGGGAGGGGCAAGGGAAAGGAAAGAAGGGAAAAGAAAAAATATGAGAAAAGGAAAAAAATGGAAACAAAGTATTTGCAAGTGGGGAAGGGTGGAGGGGGTGAAGGGAGGGCAGGGGAAGGGAAAAAAAATAAGAACCAAGATACTCATGTAATGGTACAAGATCCCAATGATGAATGTGACTGTTTTATATCTAAAATATATATCGATAAACTTAATGGAAAAAAAAAAAGAAAAGGACTGGGGATGTAATTCAGTGAGAAGGCTGCCTCTGTTTAATCCCCTGAACTGTGGAAAGGAGGGAGGGGAGAGGAGAGGAGGAGAGAAAGAGAGAAAAGAGGCGGCCAGAAGAAGGGAAGGGCATAAGACAAAAACCACAGATCTGGAGAAAGTCACACACATGGACATACACGTGTGCATGCAGAGGAAAAGCACACATCATACACAAGTACTCATGTCCGTAACACAGAAGGAGCTCTTTTGGCTCCGTGATTATATCTGCTGTGTGACCCAACCAGTTTAAGAGAAGAGAACATGAGGTCGGGGGGTAGAAAAAAAGAAGACAGAAATACAGAAAATAAAATCAGACTGAAACTCACAGTGAGAAAATGATACTAGGTTAACTTTTGCTGGTCACTGAATTTCCTTGGGGAATCAGCTATTCTAGGTAAAAAAAGAAGCCACATCTGCATCTCCTGTCCACCAGAACAAAGATCACAGTCTCACATTTCCTAGTAGTGCCTGACTTCAACGAGTAATGTAGAGCACACAGTGGGTATGCACTGAGAGAGCTCTGAGAGCACTGATAGTACTGACAGAGTACTTAAAACACTGAGAGTACTGAGAACTGAGGGAGCACTGAGAGCACTGAGAGTACTGATAGGGTACTTAGAACACTGAAAGTACTGAGAGAGCACTGAGAGCACTGAGAGCACTGAGAGCACTGAGAGAGCAGAGAGTCCTGAGAGCTCTGAGAGAGCACCAAGAGGTCGAGGCCCTCGAGAGCTGCAGGCCGTGGGAGCTGAGCCTTGGGGATGGAGTTTTCCCCTCCCTCTAGCACGGCCAGGCTGCACTTTCTCTCCATCCTCCCATCCGTGCCTGGCGCTGTGTGCAGCCCTCACTGGCAGCAAGGCAGAGGCCAGCACCCTGCTCTCAGAACCGCGGAACTGTGATACTAAAAGCTCTTTCCCGTGTAGGCTACTGGGTCTCGGGCTCTGTCATAAGGAAGAAAACATCCGGAAATCAGCAGGGCAGCACAGACACCTGGCAGGGACACCTGGCAGAAGAGGAGGAGGCTGGCTGAGGGAGAGGCAGGAAAGCAGGGGAGGCAGAGCTTTCCACCCAGAGGGGTGTTCCCGGCACCCTCGGCTCTCAGTGGAAACGCGGGTCCCTGAGAGGGCACTCCTGTCAGGAGGCAGCGGAGGGCCTGGGGTCTAACCCTCTTCCCTGCGACCACACGAAAGGAGAAGGCAGCCAACACAGGGGAACAGGAAGCGGCAGCCCAAAGATAAGCACTCACTTGCTTTTTCACACAGTTCAACAGCCCTGCAATGCTGCCAAGGCAAGGCTAGCAATTCCCCGGGAACTAAGCAAAGGCTTTCCTCTGGGTCCAACCACTCTCTCGCAGGAGTCATCAGATCCAGGGGGCTGATCCACCCTTCCTTTCAAGGAAAAGAATCTGAAATTATCCATTGGAAGATGAAGAAAGCTTAGCAGAAACACCACTGACTCCAGCATAGTTATAAATATATTACGGGGAAATGAATTCGTTTCTCTGATAGCCTCACTGCAATTCTGCATGCAGCATCTCTTATACCCTGGGGCCGCTACCTGAGCCCCAGGAAAACTCAGCCGCATCATCTGTGAAGCCGGCCCCCAAGCGCGCCTCTTGGAGTTGGCTCCTCCGCGGTCCGGGCAGGACCAGGGTCGTCCTCACCCCCTCTCAAGGACAAGCCCCAGCCAGCGCTCCCGGGTCTCACTCACTTGCTGCAGCTGTCCGGCCTGCTGCCCGGGGGCCCCAGCCCCGTGTCCAGGAAGGTCGCCACGGTGGAGAACCCTGCCGGCAGCTCGTCCCACTCCTCAAACTTGATGCCGCTGCCCAGGGAGTAGGAGCCCTCGGCGCACTTGCTGCACACCTGGTTCCGCATCTCCAGGTACTCTCCGGCGGCACAGGAGAAGGCTGGAAGGCAGAAGAGCAACCTGTCAGGCAACGGCTCGCATCTCCTCACAGCCCACGGGGAACGGCCCGTGCCTCCCACCGCCGTTTGCTTTAGTCTGGCCCCGGCCTGTTTTATTCAGCTCTTCCTCTGCTTCCCCTCTTCTCATCAGGGCAAAAACGCGGTGTCTCAAATCGCCTCATCTTCCCTCTGTCTGCGACCTTCTTTCCCAGAGGTGCGGGCCAGCGACGGCTTCCCGGGGAGTGCTTTCCCACCCAGCGGTCCCTGCCACAGGCAGGCAGCTGTGCCACAGCAGCCTTCGAGCCTTGGAGGGCCCGCTTAGCAGGAGCGCTGTCGCTTTCCGCTTTGAAAAGGTATCTGCCGATGGCATGAGAACGGAGAAGGCAGGCAGTGCTGGGGCGGTGATAGCCAAGGGCATGTCTCCACCCGAAACCGGGCGCTCTTTCAAGGCTCACAACGGCCTCACCTCACGCTATTCCAGGCCAAGGTCTCCGCTCACGCCACGCGCTCCACCCGGAGGCTGCAGAGGGCAACGGGAAGCACAGCAGCATTACTGCTGCTGGCCGATTAACCTACGCCCCGAGGGGCTGGGCTCTGCCTGAGCCACACAGGGGCTCGGCCCCAGACCGAGGCTTTCTAGGCCTCTGCTTGGGGCAGTGAAAAGAGGAGGCTGAGCGAGCGAGACACCCCAGGTGTCAGGTGGAGAGAGACCGCCCGCCCGCCCAGCAGGAGGAAAGCAGCAAGCTCAGGGCAGTGGGCTCCCGGCTCCGACTGCTGAAACTCCTTAGTCTGCTAAAACCCACACTGGCCCAGCTCCTTACCGCTGAACTAACAGAATGCTTTCCTTCGGGAAAACTTAACCATGCTGGTGATGGACTTCCCACACTCAGATCCCCATCCCCAAACCAGTAAAACCCCAGAGGAGAGGCCAAGCCACTCCTGCACGCTGACTTCGCGGGCACAGCTGTCCCAGGGTGGGGAGAAGCAGCATCCTGGGCCGGGTGGTACCACTTCCCAGTTCTGTGGCCCTGGGTCAGTTCTTCCCCTCTCCAACCCTTGGTTTCTGTCCCTAAAAAATGAGATAACTTTCACGGTAGCTGCCTCAGCGGGCTACACTGAGAAAATGCACATAAAGTGGTTGGCATGGTGCATAGCGTCTAATACATGTTTTCTGTGTGCTTTTATCAGAACTATCAGGACCACCACAGAGGAGGACAGTTACAGGGAAAATTTTTGTTGTTTCACTGGCTTATGAGTCATCTAGCAAACTCAACTAGATAATATTTCTCTAATATGATTAGTAGTGTCATAATTAACAGCCAGCATGGTATTAAATCAAGGATCAGCAAACTACAGGCTGCAGGACAAATACGGTGCTCAGCCTGCTTTTATAAATAAAGTTTTATTGAAACAGAGCCACAATTATTCCTTTATATATTGCCTATGGCCCCTTGCATACCATAATGACAGAGTTGAATGGATGCAAAAGAGAAGGCTCCTCACAGAGCTGAGAGCACTACTGACTGATAAAATAAGAGTTAATTTGGAAGACAGTTTCATCTGGAGTCCAAAATTGAACTTATCAATTAACTTAATTGATATTAATAAATGATTTATAAACAATAACAATAAAAATATTTTATATGTTGTTATAAGGGACTATAAAAACTAGAAAGAAGAAAACTGTGAATCTCGTCTTTTAAACACATTGGAGTTACTTCAAGGTGTTCACTACCCTGCTAAAATACCCTTAACTCCCGCAGAAGTACAGGATGCCTGTGCGACAGAAGGAAGCTGAGAGGCAAAGGCAACCGTGACCGCAGTCTGTATGACAGAGTGCTGCACGTGGCACTCCATGAACACGGAACACTTGTCCACAAGAGTTCAGCTGCTGCGAGCACTGCAGTGTGGAACACTGAGCCACTGCTCCTGGTGGAGCTCAGGGTTAGGCTCCTGGAGCCTCCAGACGCGATCAGCACATAACCTGTCTGAGTGCATCTCTGCCTGGAGACCTCTCCCAGCTGTGCAGCTGGCTTACTAACCATGGACGCCCGGGCAGCAGCACTGCCCTCACGTCTGAACACGGCTCACAGGACCCAACAGGTGCCTCCTCCAGGGGGTGCACACAGCCCACCTGCACGTGGGGCGCTGGCTGGGACTAAGCACTGACCTTCCACAAGGCCGCTGGAAGCAGCAGAACCACCACATGAGTAAATAACAAGGGTCCAAAAACATGGTACCAAAGAACCCACAAAGGGATACCTGTTCATTCTAGTATGAGAGGTGAAATAAATCACTTGGCCACGTGAAGCAACAGCGCAAGGTGCTATGTGGCCAGGTGCATGGCACACACCTGTAATCTCGCTGAGGAGGCTGAGGCAGGAGGACAGTGAGCTCGAGGCCAGTCTGGGCTGCATGGCCAGATCCCCATCTCATAAGAAAACTTTTAAAAACAGCCGGAGATGTAGCTCCCTGGCTTCAATCCCCAGTACCAAAGGGGGGCTTTGTAAGCTGGTGCTGATCCCCCAGACAGAACACAGGCTTGGGCTCTGAAGCCTAACCGTACTGGTCTCCACGGCAGCCGTACTGACTCACACTCCTCCGATGGTGCCGGGCTTCCTTTCCCATCTCTCCCCCAGCACCTGTCACCCTCATCTCTGGACCACAGCCACCGGCGGGCAATGCGATCAACGCGCCCTGGGACTAGTGATGCTGGACATCTTTACATCTTCGGCGAAATGCTGGCTCAGGTCCTCGCTGTCTTTCACCTGGACTGTCTGGTCCCCTTCGGGCGAGCTGGTCGGTCCGTGCGTGCATGGAGGGGAGCCCCGGCAGCCCTGAATGTGTTCCTCCCGTGCCACGGGTGCCCTCCACTCTGCTGTCCCGTCCCATGCAGCTTCTCAGTCTGATGTCATCCACTTATTAATGGTTTTGCTGCCTGATGTGTTAGTTACTTCTCTATCATTGCTGAGACAAAATACCCAACACTCAGAGTTGGAGGGAAGGGTTATTTGCTCACAGTTCGTAGAGGTTCAGTCCACAGTCGGCCGGCTCCAAGTCAGGGATGGCAAACAGGCGTCATAGAGGGGAAACGACATGGCGCGCACAAGGCAGCGAGGCAGCAAGGGAGCTTCACCGTGTCTTTCTGCCTCTTGCATCCCATCCAGACCACCGGGAGTAGGGCGGTGACAACGACTCACTCACTCAGACTAGTAATCACACCCCTAATCCCAGCATCACACATTCCAGATTCCGCCACCTCTGACCGGTTGAGGCTTTGGGGGCACAGCCAGACCCCAACCATAACACTTCAGCTTTGGGGTCAAAGGCAGGAAATCACTGCTAGACAAGGTCATACAGCTTGTCCCCTAGATTCCTCTAGCAGTTTTCACTTCAGGTGTTGATCTTATGTTCTTCACCTATTTTTTTTTTTTTTTTTTTTTTGGTACCGGGGATCAAACTCGGGGCCTTGTGCTTTCGAGGCAGGCACTGAGCTAAATCCCCGGCCCCCTCTTCACCTATTTCCAATTGATTTTTTAATATGGTGAGAGACAGAGGCCCATGTCGTTTTCCTGTGTGTGGACATCAGTTTTTCCAGCACCCTTTATTGAAGAGACTGTCCTGTTCCTACTGTGTGTTTCTGGCAACTGTGTCAAAAATTGTCAGCGAGTGGATGGTTCACTTTGGACTCTGCTCAGTTCTTCTGGTCAATACATCTGGTTTTTGGCATGTATGTTTAGATGAGTGCTTTCCACTAAAACTCTGCGGAAGTCAGCCTGGAGAGCCAGCCCTATGCGACAGGAATGCTGTACTCGGGCTGGCGCTGCAGTGCAGTGGCAGATTCGCGCCTCACATGTGCAGGGCCCTGAGCTCCAGCCGCAGCACCACAGAACCAGCAGAGCCCTCTGAGCAGACATGGCTGGGAGAGCAGTGAGACGGGCGGCTCTATCCACTGAGTCCCAGAGGCTCTGCTGCGAGGACACACTCCACACCTCCCAGGAGGACGCAGCACTACCAAGGCCCAGGGCCCCGAGTCCAACCGGAAGTCCTGGCGAGTGTCTTAGTCTACAGGAAGCACTGCCTGCCAGCAGCATTCCACAGAGAAGACTGGGAGACGCGTGCGGTCACCACCATGCCCACCACCTTGCTCGTTTGCTACAAGTCTGCAGCGCTCACATACCGGCTCTAACAGTGCTTCTTGGAGCCCCCAGTGTTTGCTCCACGTGACACAATGCCATCTTCAGAAGAGACAGGTTGTTTTTGTTTTTTGGTACCGGGGATCAAACTCGGGTCCTTGCGTTTGCGCAGCAGGTGGTGAAACCACTGAGCTAAATCCCCGGCCCTAGAAGAGACAGTTTGCATCCCCCTTCCCAAGCCAGATACGCTCTTCCTGGCCTCACTCCTCCAGCCAGGACTTCCATGAAGACGCTGAATGAAGGTTCCAGAGGGAGCACCTGGCCTTGTTCCAGATCCGGAAACCACCGTCAGCTCCGTCACTGAGGACACATTAGCTAGCTGCAGGTTCGTCACACGACACAGAAGCGCTTCTCCCTGGCACTGACTTAGTGTCATGAGTGGTGCTGAGCTCTTAAGTGCTCTGCAACAGCTGAGATGGTCATGGTTTTCATCACTCGTTCCGTTAACATGCTGAATCACACTCACCGAGCTGCCTATGTGAAATCACCCTTGCAGCCTAAGGATAAATCCTGCTCGCTGGTGGCATATCATCTTTTAATGTGCTACTGCTAAAGTCAATCATCTAATCTACAGATCAGAGCTATACGTCGCTCTAGTCTTTATTATAATTTCCTTCTTCCTGCTAACTCTGGCAATTTAGCCTTTTTCTTCCACTCCCTTGATGTGCAATATCAGACAGCTTATTTGATATCTTTCTTTTTTAACATAGGCACTTATCACTATAAACTTCCCCATTAGTCCTGCTTCTGCTACAGCTCATACCTTTTAGGTGGGATTTCTGTCTCTTTTGTCTTTAAACATTCTC